CCCTCTTTCTCAAAAATAAAAACATAAAAAAAAAGAAAAGTAGACGAGCAGTTCAAGTGCTTATGATGCCACGTCTACAGGCTAGAGACTCTCATTGTTCACGGGGGAGGATCAAAGGAAAACACAGAGCTGGCGAGACAAACTCCAGGTACAACACAGAACTGCAGAAAGGCGGTTTCTATGGCAACTCAACCTCAAACACTCGTCACCCTTCAGGGGGTCCTAACTCCCAGGTGTACCTGTCGTTTGAGGCGTTGAGCTCCAAGACTGCGTCCTTGAATGCTGGGCCCAGCAGGGCGCGTGCCAAACACAGGATGCTTGTAGTTTTGCCCGTTCCTGGGGGGCCCTAGGAGGAGATCGAGGGGGCTTCAGGCCGACAGGATGAACTCGCCTCAGCTCTTGAGTTACTGTTCCCCACTGTTGCGCTCGCCTCCCCCTCAAACCCCCACCCCAAATCAATACGGCCACCAACCCACAGGCCTCCTGACCACCTGGAGCGGAACGCTTCCCTGCCAAGAGGAAGGCCAGGGCTTCGGTGGCCATGGGCCTCTCTGACCAGGAAGCTCTGCGCACTTAGGCTCTTGGAGGGAAAGTGAGACTCTAAGACGTCCAACAGGGAGGGCTGGGACCAGGTACTTACAGCGATGATAATATTGGGCACATTCCCTTCTCTTGCAAAGACCTGAAGAAAGAAATGTGCATCAGAACTGACTCATCTGCAGACCTGAGGCACCAAGCGTCCGCAGCCACACAGGCCCGTGGGCTAGCACGGCCACCAGTTTCTCCACGCGGATGCCCCACGGAGCTCTCACCTCTGCATATTCCGAACCGAAGTCCTCATTCCCCCTCACACCTGAAACCCCACTCAGGCTTCCCGTTGTGTGGACTGTCAATCCTATTGCCCATGCCGGGAACCGGGAGGTCATGGCTATCCTGGAATGGGCCTCCCCTACACCCCCTGCCCCACATAGTGCCTCAATTACAGAGGCCTGGCCATCCTTTTTCCTTTATCTCAAGTCCATTTCCTTCTCTTCAGCCACATTGCCACTTCCTTTGTCTATGACCTCTCTCCTGGATCGCTTTTAACTGGTCACTAGCTGGTCTTTAATCCCGCCCCACTCCCATGCATTTTCCCTACTGCAACCACAACCAATTTCCCAATTTTCTAGAATGCACATCTATTAAAACCTTTGCACCTGACTGATGCCCTTGGAGGACTCCTTGCCGCCCTCCCTATGAAGCCCCAACTCTTCCACAGGGCTCATGAGGCCGTGCTCACCTCACCAGCTCATTTCTCATACCTCCCGATACACACGCTCTACAGCCTTGTTACCCTGTGGGCTCCAAGGACCAGCGGCATCGGCATCCTCCGGGAGCCTGTCAGAAATGCAGATTCCCTGGCCCCACTCCAGACCTACTGGATCAGACCTGCATTGCTACCAATTCCTACACCCATTAATTAATTAATTGTAGGCAATTCCTACACCCATTAATGTCTGGAAAGCACTGTTCTGTGTGTTCCACTCAGATGGCATCCCCGCCCCTCCCCCAGAGCAAGCTAGGCCCTCTCACTTCTGGGCCTTTGCACATGCCATTCCTGCTGCCTTCCCTAGCTCCGCCCCCCGCTCCCCATGTCTGGCTAACTCTCACATACCTATCTTTGCCGTCCCTTGTTCCATTTGAGAATTAAGATACTGTGAGCAGGTTTATTCCCTGATTGCTTCCACAGCAGCCTGTACCTCCTCTGGCAGACTGCTCATCACAGTACCTGTTGATTTCAGGGGCAGGGGTGAGACTAATCCCACACGGGCAGGGGTCATGTCTATTTTGTTGACCCTTCTATCAACAGCTCCTAACACTGGACCATATCTGGCCCACGAAAGATACTCAAATATCTGTAAGATGAGTAAAGGTGTAAAAGAAATAAATATCTCGGTAGCTGTTGAAGTCTAAGTCCCAGTTACTGCAGAGATTGTCTCTGTCAGGTCTCAAACGGCTGGGCTTCTAGATTCCGCCTGAAGACCTCTAGAACTAGGATTTCAAAGCTTGCTCTGCAGTGAACATTTCTGCTTGTTCCTATTCCTGTCGTCCTGAAGCCAGCTGTCCTGTCACTTAGTCCCTCTAGGAAGGGGCTGGCAAACTACTGTAAAGAGGTGTTGGGGGGAGGTGGGGGCCATCCAGCCTAAGACCTGTTTTTAAAATTTTTTTTTTTTCAATGTTTATTTATTTTTGGGACAGAGAGAGACAGAGCATGAACGGGGGAGGGGCAGAGAGAGAGGGAGACACAGAATCGGAAACAGGCTCCAGGCTCCGAGCCATCAGCTCAGAGCCTGACGCGGGGCTCGAACTCACGGACCGCAAGATCGTGACCTGGCTGAAGTCGGACGCTTAACCGACTGCGCCACCCAGGCGCCCCCTAAGACCTGTTTTTATAAGCCCCCTAGCTAAGAACAGTTTCTACATGTTTAAAGGATCGTTTTAAAAAATTAAGAATATTGGGGTGCCTGGGTGGCTCAGCCGGTTAGGCGTCTGACTCTTGATCTCGGCTCAGGTCATGATCTC